GCACTATTCTTTTTGCTTAAAATTGCATTGGCTCTTCTTGGAAAGACAACTTTAAAACTCTTTGAAGGGGGGTAGGAAAAACCACTGCTAAGTACAGTAACAAATGTGGTGTTATATGTTTCTTTTTGTGGTGTATGTGCATATCTCTTTCTGTGTATGCATGTCTGTGTGTGGGTGCACTTATCACTTGTATACACATGGAGGCTAGAGGCTCATCTTGGAATGGGTTTACCACTTCTCAAATTATTGAGACAGGGTCTTTTTTTTTTTTTTTTGAAGACAGGGTTTCTCTGTATAACATTCCTGGCTGTCCTGGAACTGGCTCTGTAGACCAGGCTGGTTTCGAACTCACAGAGATCCACTTGCCTCTGCCTCCTGAATGCTGGTATTAAAGGCGTGCGCCACCACTGCCCAGCAAGACAGGGTCTTCTACTGAGCCAGAAGCCAGAAGCTTGTCATTTTGACTATTTTTCCTGGCTCGTGAGTGAGTCTCCAGGATCTTCCTGTCTTTGCCTCCCAGTGTTGGGATTACAGACATGCACACCATATCCAGTACCACAATCTTTTATGCCCTCTCTCTGGCCTCACATCTCATTTTTTTGTTATTAAATTAAAAAAGCAGACAGTGTAGTTTAATGTCACTTATTTCAACAGTGATCAGCATTCTTCATATTTTCTTTCACCTATTGCCCTCAACATATATTTTCTCCTTCAGAGTACTTAAAACTGAATCGATACATATTATTTCACCTGTGAACACTTTTCTTTGTATCTGTGGCAGATGCGACTTAAAAAGCATCTTAAACCAACATGTCGTTATTGTGCTTTGCAGCTCGTTGACAGTTTTTTTCCTTCCTCCCTTACTTTCCTCTCTCTTCCCACCCTTCTATTTCTTTTCTTTCTCCCCCATTTTCATTTTTTCTTGCCTTCTTTTCTTTTTGAGACAGAGTCTCTAGCTCAGACTGGCCTCAAATTTGCTATATCCTTAACGATGACTTCAAATTTGTGATGGGATTACAGGAGTGTTCCATTGTCTAGGGTTTCTGCGCTGCTGGGTGTTAAACCCAGGACTGCACACATGCTAGGCAAGCTCTCTGTCATCTCAGTTACCTCCCCAGCCCTCTTCCCCCTTTTGTTTTTTGTTTTTCTTTTTCTTTAATGAGACACAGTCTTGTGGTATTGCCTAGACTGGCTGGAACCCCCCAACTCGAGTGATTCTCCTGCCTCAGCCTCTTCAGTAAGTGAGGCTATAGGCATGTACCACTGTACATGTTTGTTATTGCTATTTATTATTAGTTTGTGTTCCCATCACAGGCAGTTCCCTCCCTGGAGAGAGGGCCAGGGAGTATGCTTGGTAGATAACAAAACTGAGGCTCAGAGAGAGTGGGTTACTTGGACAAGGTCCCAGAGCTAATGAGTGTCAAGAGAGAAGCTCAAATTTAGGCAGTATGAGGTGTGTTGCTTGCCAGGGCTCTACTAGGCAGCTGCAGGCCCAGCACTGAGCACGGGGCATAGGATCTGCCCCTGGCAAATACAGCAAGGGAATAGCTGCAAGAACTCTCTGGGAAGGGGTTCAGCCTGATGACTGTGTCCATTCCTTTTCCTTCTTTCTCTTTCTCTTCCTCTTTTTCTATCTTCCCTTTTCTGTTGATTGGCAATATTTGATTTTGTAATAAAGAAATCTTTCTGCCTGAGAAAAAGTCTTTTAAATACAGAATTGGAAATATACTGCTCTCTCTGTGACAGCTCACAATGAATGTAGCAGAGGTACAGTCATTCTCCCAAAGGTAAGCTGGCTTGGGAATTTTCCGTTGGCTTTTTTCTTAGTTTTAAATTTTATTTATTTACTTTTTCAGGGAACAGGTAATACATTCACATGGTTAAAAAATCAGAAGGTACAAAAAGAAACACTGCAAGTCTACCTCACTTCCCCAGTCACTTGCCACCTGGTTTCACTGCCTGGAGGCAACTGAAGTGTCCCAGTTTCTTGTGTATTTTTTCAAAGATGTTTTATGCAAATACATGCATATCCAATATATACTTTTTATTCAGTGGTGGGAATATGGCTTCACACACATATAGTCTTTTTAAGATGGCTATTTTTCTTAATCCTCAAGTTGTAGACATAGCCTAAAGTTTTCGTATAGTCTCTCTAGCCCTGGTGTGTGTCTGGGGGCCAGTGGAAGCCCTCATATGTACAATATTTGGGCTTTTTTTGAGACAGGCTCTCATATAGCCCAGGCTAGCCTTGAACCACTGCTTTTACCTCTCAAGTGCTACGATTATAGGCATGTGCCACCACACATAGTTTTTGAGGCTCTTTTCAGATGCGCCCATCTTTGAAAAATCAGTAGCCCCTCACAAGAACCCATGGCATACAGAAATAATTTGCTCTATTTTCTATGTGAGGAAACAGAGCCAGCAAGGCCAAGCACCTTGCTGAGAAGCACAGGACTAGCCCATGTATTTGTCGTAGGGTGAGGGCCCAGGCATAGTGTGTGGCTTGATCCAGCACAGACTTTGTAAGCAATAAGAAAGTTGTTTACTCCAAAGTCACAGTTCAAAAAATATTCTAGTGGCACTAACGTGGGGCTGTGGAAAAAGTAAGGGAGTTTGCAGTTCTGGCTAGGGTTGCTCTCTCCCACTCACCGCTGGGCAAGCCACATCGATTTGTAGCCTCAGTTTCTTCATCTCCAAAGTGGGTGTGATAACACCTATCTAGCAGGAAAGAGAATGACATATTTTAAGTAGAAATGACCTACAAGAAGGGGTGCAGTCTCATGTTTGCCTCATGGTTGTCATTAGAGTCACTGGGCTTGATCTTAGTATTCCAATAGAGAGGTGGGCAGCAGCCTTTGACTGATGAGAGGGTAAGCTCACACCAGTATACACTTGCCTTGCCCTGGAGCCCATTTCTCCTGGGGCTGTGCTTAGAGCCTCCTGCGCAGTAAGAACAGCCCTGAGGCTGAGCACAAGTCTGTACAGTGGGAGGTTCCAACTGACTTTGATCTTTATCTCAGAGGTTGAGATAAAGACCATTTACAAAATTTTAAAAATTTATTCTGACAATTTCATACATGTACATAATGAATTTTGATTTCATTCACCATTACCCTTATTCCCCATCTCCTCCAACTGAACTCCTTCTAACAAACAAGTCTCTTCCTACCCTCATGTCTTTTCTTTTGGTGACTGACTGAGTTTAATTAGTGCTGCTCGAACAAGCAATTCATTTTTAGCTTATTACGTTATTTGTAGGACTAGGGGTGGAACTCAGGGCCTCATGGAGAGTAGGCAGTAATTCTACCACTGTGCTATACTCAAGCCTATTCTTATATTGTAAAAGTTAAATGTAACTCACTAGAGGAAATCTGAAAAATTATGAAAAAAAGCTCAAAAAACAAATCATCTTGTAGGTTCCTAGTCCACAAAAGGCCATCTCAGTTTACATTTTGGTGCTTTTCCTCATAGCCATTACTGCCTTCGTGCCTTTATAATTCTGGACAGAGAAGTTCTTAACCTGCTGTGTTGGTTTTATGGATGATGGTTCTACCTTTGGGTATTTCAATTTTATTTTGTAAATTTTATGTGATTCCTGGTTTTGCCTGTTATTATTTTTTTTTTACCTAATGTTTCCCTTTTATTTCTCTTCTTCCCTTCGTTTTTTCCTTTCTGGTCTCTCCTATCTTTGATGTGCTAGGGGACATGCTGAGCAAATGCCCTGTCACTGAACTGCACTCCAGGCCAGCAGATCCTATAGGAATGCAATGAATGGCAGCCTGTCTGCTACTGCACTAGTGTCCTTGGAGGCCCGGCAGAAGGTCATCAGATCAGTAGCTTCTTTGGATCCTGTTGGGCCAGAACTGAGGCCGAGCTAGTTCTCAGGCAGTGCCAGCCTAGTCATGGCAAAAACCCAAGAACCTTCTCCTGTTTTCTCCATATCAGACCGAAAAGGCCACAGGGTACTAGTTAGCCATTGTTTTTACCAGGTGGTTGCCTCTCAGGATTAAGGCCTTCTCGGGGACTTTGGAGACAGGTCCCCTTGGAAGGACTGGAATGGGAACCTGAAAGTGGGATAAACAAACCTTTGAGAGGGCAAACCTTGGCACCCGTTTATTCAGCACCTCCTCACTCTTTCAATCTTTGCAATCCCTGTTCTTTTCAGTGGAAGCTAAACTGCCTTAAGCCCAGTGTATAATTAGAATAGCGGACATTTGAAGTGACTGGTACTTGTAGTCCACCAGATACTTTCACTGTTTAATAAAAGCATGGCTATTCCCAGCTCAGGACACACTCAAGGCTTTCTCATTCCCTTTTGTGGAATGCTCTTGGTTGCTTGGGGGAAATTCAAGTTAAATATCCCTTCAGACATGCTGCTGGGGGACTGGTGGGCTGTGCCAGTTGCTCTCAATTTAGTGAGCCCCAACTTTGTGCATGTATTTGCTTTTTCTTCCCCTTGCCCAAGGCCAGCACTGGGCTGTGCTTGTGTCTCTTAGACTTGTCACAGTGGTTGAAAGAACTTAATAAATATTAGGTCAATCAAGTTATAAAATCATGCTGAATGGTTGTTTTTTGATCACATTTGTACCATCTTCACAAGTCACACCAGCCCACCAATGGTCATGTGTATCAACTATCCACATTTAGGTTGGAAGTGTCCTGTCTACCCATGGAAATACCTCAAAGACCTGGCACTGCTACCCATGAATCTTTGGCAGGGCAAACTCCTCCTCAGAGTGCAACAGGCCCCTTTTCATGGACACAGAGCCTATAACCCCTGCACCTACTTTTTCATGGACAGGCCCCAGCACATGACAGAACTTGTCATCTGGGGAGGGGACACACTAGTTCCCTATGAAGGTCCAAATTTTAGGGTGAGATTCCTAGGCTGGCCAGGGCAGAATGTGGAAGAGGGTCATTTCTGACCTTTGGTGTCAGGAAAAGTTCAGAACTGTGTATGTTGTCAGTAGCAGTTTACAGTAAGAACAATGGGACAGAGCTAGGTTTTTGAAGATTTTATTAAAAACAACATGGGTGAAGAACATTAAAACCAAAGTGGTAAACTCGGGTCTCCCTCCCAGTCTGCTGACAGCCCTCCCCCACAGGGCTCTACCTAGATGGCCCTGGGGCCCAAACCTGTTACCCCCACCCAATCCCACTTTCCTGCAGCTTGTGACTTATCCCCATTAAGAAGATAAAAATAACCCCCTCCCCAACTTGCTTAAAATATTTTGAAAGATTGAAAGCTGAATTTGTGTGTGTGTGTGTGTGTGTGTGTGTGTGTGTGTGTGTGTTAAAATAAACACTTTAAATGCTGGATATGATGCTCTTCCCCCTAGGCCTGGCTCTGGGGTGCCTGCCTCCTCACCCCAGGAGGCCAGCTGCCACTTGGTGCCCCTTGGAATTTTTCAGGAAGTAATTTCTTCCAAATTTCCCCTGCAGTCACAAATTCCACAAACTGCTTGCATCAACACACTGTCTTCATTATAGGCACTGCTTCCCAGCGCTGCAAAGCTGGTCTCTTTTTGTCAACTAGACCACATGCTTCAGATTCCCTGCAAACAGGAGAGAAAACAGAATTCAGATTCAGGTAACATATGAATTACATACCGCAATAGAGCTGAGAAGAAGAAAATAAGTATTTACATTTTGGGGCCAGTTCTCCTGCTGAGAATGGGAATGTGGTGACCTTTTTTTTTTTTTTAATGTGAGTAAGCCTTGAATGATGAGGGACAAAGGGCTTAGATACCCCTGTCATCCTAGAAAGCAATACACAAATCAGCAGGATTTTTGACCACCAGCTGACTGCTGATACCGGGTGGGTCCAGGTCAAACCAGAATGACCATGAGGCTGATCGTAGCTCCATCACCAGTCCAGATTTATGAAGAAAACAAATGGTTGTTTTACACGCACGCACGCACACACGCTCGTCCATGTCCAGGTAACACTTTTCACAGGTCACAGTTAACTGCATCAAATCTTCCTTTTCTCCGACCTTTCTGTCTCTCTTAGCAGGGCACAACCCTTCTGGCATTTTCTCTCATGGGTAACTATGAAGTATGGAGTAATAGGCCTTTCCTTTCTCTCAGGCCCAAGACTTCTGTTGGAAAAGCACCACAGGAAGAGGCTCTAAAAGGGATCAGTTTGTTCAGTTGGTTCTTGGTCAGTCTTCTCTTTGCTCCATTTCCTTGAGTGGAAACACCAGAGTCCAAGTTCTACTGCCTGCTTATCCTTTGAAACAGGAAGAATACTGTTCTATTTAAGTTCCTAAATCTAGCACAGTGCCTCACACCAGCAGGTATACAGTAGATGGAGAATGATGGATGAGTGGAAGAGGGAGGAGAGGAGGCGGTACTCTGAAAAAAAAAACAGTTGCTTTTCTACTTAAGAAAATCGTATTTAGTTTTTGGTGCTAGGGATCAAATCCTGATTCCTATGCATGCTAGGAAAGTGTTCTATGATTGAGTTCTACTCTTGTAATGTTAAAATTAATCTATAGTAAAACTGACTTTCTTCAATGCACAGACCTGATTCTGAACACATATATATGTTCATGACACAGAAGTTTCCTAACTCCCAAAGCCTTCAGTGTCATCTTTTTGCAGTCACATCCTCCTGACTACCAGGCAGCTACTGATGTGCTGTCTGTTCCAGAATGCCATATAAGAGCTGGACAGTTGTGGTGCACAGCTTTAATCCCAGTACTCGGGAGGCAGAGGCAGGGGGGTTTCTGTGGGGTGTTTGAGGCCAGCATGGGCTACACAGCGAGTTCCAGGACAGCTAGGGTTGTTACACAGAGAAACCCCGTCTTGAAAACAGCAATAACAACAAAAGGTTGTGGTGGCACACACCTTTAATCCCATTTATATTCTTACCAGGGATCTGGTAGGGACCTGGTTTCTCTCCAGCATGCAGAGTTGTTTATTTTGCCTATTCTGATGGGTATATAGTGGTATCTCATTGTGATCTTACTTTGATGTCGCCTAATAGCTAATGATGTTAAACATCTTTTATGTGTTAATTTGCTATTTGTATATCCCTTTTTATGTCTTACGCCCAATTTTTAATTGGTAATTTTTTCTACTGTTGAGTTTGGAGAGCTCTTTGTATGGTTTAGATACAAATCTGTTGTTGGGTATGATTTGCAAATATTTTATCTCTGTACATTTGTTATATCTTCATTCTAGTAACAAGTCTTTTGTAAAGCTAAAGTTAATTTTGATGAGGCTAAATTCAGCAGTTTCTTCTTATATTGTGGTGTTTGAAAGTAACTCAAAATCCTTGGGCTTTGCCTGGTGCTTCATGTCCCTTTGTCTTATGGGTTGCCAAACCTAACTTCAAGATGTGTCTCTCACACTATACTATCTTAACCTTTGTCACATCTCTTTATTCAGGTCACTGCCTCAGCCTCTTCACTGATACTCTTGATTGTAGGGCTGCTTCTTGGTCACTGCCAACTGTGGTCCACACCCTTTCTTTCGTGAAGAAACTTTAGTATTTCCTGACCATCTGGGAGTAAAGCCTAAAGCCTTATCCTAGACAGGACTCCATACATAGGTCCTGACCATACATGTGGGCCTCTGCTGAGGACAGCCCACAGGGGACCCCACTACTGAAGCAAGGATCTCTCCATCTGTAAGCACAGCCAGTGCTTGGGGAATAAATGAATGCACGAAAGGATAAGACTCTGAGTCATTGTGATTTAGTAACAGAAGACCACAGGAAGGAAAGGTGGACGCTGTATTCTATTATGCCTGACTTACTCTGTCATTACATTTGGAGGCAATTAAGTAAAACAACAGAAATAATTTCCACCAAAAGTTGATGATGAGCAACATTGAATTTGGGTAACAATAAACATGTAAGCTTAAATAATGCCCATTGTTTTTTTCCTGATGTCCAGCTTTTATAGCATTGGGTGGTAGCCTGAGAAAATTCTAAAGGCCAATACAGTTTGAGGCCTGGAAGACAGTGCAAGAGAAAGTTGCAAATAGCACTAACTCAGAGACATTTTGAGATTAGGCTTCAGATCAGAGGGGGCAAATCTAAATGCCAAGAGAGCCAGAGGATCTATTGCATGTGAGCAATATCCAACTAGGGCAAGGCATGGACCTGCTATGATGCTTTCATCATTTTCCCACCTTGAATCATGACTAGTATAAGAAGTAGTTTCCTGCTTGGTGTGGTGAAACACTCCTTTCATACCAACACTTTGGATCAGAATCAGGCAGATCTGCCCATTAGAGGCCAACCTGGTCTAAATAGGGAATTCCAGGGCAACTAGTGATATATAGTTAGACTGTGTCTCAAAAGCAGTTTCCTTTTTGCTCAACTACTATAAAAATAAAGAAAACTGAAACAGTGTGAGTGGAAACCCATGCTTGGCCTAGAGTAAGACATAAAATGGGAGGGATAGGGTTTGCAGCAAATAAGATGTTCACATGCTTGCCAAGTGGATCTAGCCATTCATTATCAGGCAGCCAGATAGGCTCCATGTGTCTATAGTTTTTCATTTCCCAAGTGAAGTCAGAAATATACATTTTAATGCAAAGTTTCCACAGTGTTAAATGTGGGTGACTGAAAAATTTAAAGAATATGAATAGTCAAATAACTTTTGGGAGCAAAATGTAGCTTGTGGCCTGTTTATAATTTCTAGTTTACACTCAGGATGCTCCATTTCCTTCTCTATATTCTGGTTTGGATAAATAATTATACTAATTATATTAAGACTTCACCTCTGATATACAAGAAGACCTTAGGAGGACTGTGTTCTTCTGATTCACTGGTTAATTCTTTTTGGTTTTCTGAGACAAAGTCTTGCTGTGTAGCCCAGTCTGGCCTCAAAATGAAGATTCTCCTGCCTCAGCCTTCCAAGTCCTGGGATTACAGGATATACTACCATTGACAGACTCATTTGCAATCCAGTTTTTCAGTGAACATTTATGTAGTGATTCACTTGTGCTATGTCCCTTGCTAGGGGCCAGGAAGCCTTTTTATTACTCTTCTTTTTTTCAATCAACAGACTTAGATTGATCCACTCATCTACTGAAAGTCATCTTGGTTACTTCCATGTTTGGATGATTATGAATAAAGCTGCTATAAACATTCATGTGCAAGTTTCTTTATGGACATGAGCTTTAACTGCTTTGGGTAGATACCAAGGAAGTGATTGCTAGATTGAATAGTAAAGAGAGCTTACTTAGCTTTGGCACAAACTGGTAAACTGTCCTCCCAAGTGGCTGCACTATTTTACCCCCAACAAAGACTGAGGGGTCCTATTACTCCATATCCCCTCCAGCACTTGGTGTTGACAGCATCTGTTTTAATAGTGTGCAGTGATATCTTGTTGCCTTGATTTTCAGTTCCTTTGTGGCACACAATGTTGAACATCTACCCATACAATTTCTTGTCATCTGTATATGTTTTACGAGCTTCCTTTCACATATTTTGCCACTTCTATGTTGGGTTCTTTTTTTCCATATTGTTAAGCTGGTTCTTCATATAGTGTATATACTTCTCCAGTCTGAGACTTGTCTTCTATGATTATTTAGTCTTTTTAAGTAGACCAGTGTTGTGGAAATGTTCTGCCACCCAATGAGATATCTGGTAGTCAGTAGTAAGCACTTAGAATACAAAAACAGACCATTGGTGTTTTTGTTCTTCTGCCATGGCACTGAACAGAGGTTTTATTTCTTCCTCTGTTTACAGCCTTCCTCTTCAAGCCATTATCAAGTCCTGTGGATTCCAATTCCAAAAGACAATCCATGCACCTCCTCTCCCTTCACTACTGTTACATCTCCGAACCACTACTACTCTTTGCATGGAGAGCTCTACGTAGCTTTGAAGCTGGCTCCCTGATTCTTTCTTTCTTTCCCTGTCCCCTATACTCAGCTATGTATCAGCCAGGCTTTTTTAAAATTATTGTTCAGGTCGGAACTCATCAGTTCTAGCCACATGGTTTGAACACTAGTATCTCCTTACAAGGCATCCCCCCCCCCTTTCAAACTTACCATTCAATCTCTCTGGATGCTGTTCTTGGATAGTCTACTTTTTGACCCATCTCATCACTTCTGTTACCTTGAGTCTATAAGTTTCAACCCAAAAGTCACCTCTGAGAGGCCTTAGGAACACCCAAGTTAAATTGCCACTCCAGTCACTTTCTGCCATGTGGTCCTGTTTTTTTCATTGATGCACTCAGCATACTAGAAGCATCTGCGTTTCTTTACTTGCTGTCAGCCTGTCTCTCCTCCCAGGCTCTGTGCAGGTGGGAGCTGTGTCCATCATGCTCACTGCTCTGTGGTTAGCATCCTTTACAGAACCTGGCTCATAGCACGGGCTCAAGACCCAGTCGCTGAAAGAACTAAAGTATGTGGAACCACAGGGCTACTTTCTTGCTCGACTCCGAACTTTAGTACACACATGGTTGAGGCGAGCAAAAACATGGCAATATATGGAGACTCAGCACTTTGGGCTGGGGTGGCAAATGAGATTTTAGTCCCCTTCTTTTTAATTAGCACACATTAATTGTACAAAACAATGGGTTTCAGTTGGGTG